TTTTATATTCATCTGATAGTTGAAGGTTCTGTGAAGGATATTTCTTTGTATATGAACTTATTAAACCAATAATGCTCAAAAGTGTGAAATTTACTATCCTTTCCCCCTTTTTTTTACATCACAAGATAGGCTCTTGTTTGAGTTGTTAAATTTCTATTTGCCTTTCTTGATTTTTTTTTTTTTCCTTGGGGGGTGTGGGGGGAGAAGGGCTGTGGGGAAGGGCAGGGAAAATAAGAAACATTTTATATGGTAGATCTAAAGTTTCATTAAAATTGCTTATGCCCTGTCCCAGGCATTTTAAGTGGGCCATCTGTCTAAACATCTCTGCATTTTTTTCTGATCATTTCCTCGACTTATTCATGAGCCATGGGAGGGCTCCTTTGTAGTCTCCATGTAGCTGGTTCAGTCTACCCCCACTGAATACATCTATGTGCTTGCATAACATATCTTTTCACAGTGCTGGAAATTCTCTGAACTTGGTTCAGATGAATGGCCCACTTTCTGAAGGTCTTTTTTTCTCCCCCTGCAAGATTTGTATGCAGAAACTGACCTTGGTGGCTACAGAATCCAGCACATTATTCTTGATCATTTTACAGGCCACCTGCTGTGAAAGTTATGATGAAGGATTTCTTAATGATTCTTTGACCATTAACATTGTTTTAAGTCAATATTTCACTTTTATTTAACTGCTGAATAGGTAATTGCACAATTGAAAAACAGCTTTATAGAGTGTCACATAATGTGGTTTTCAAGCACTTATAATCTTTCATAACGGGAGGATTTGTTATGGTTGTTTGGGATTTCTCTGTTTATGTAAAGTATTATGCAGCAAAAATATCAGAAGTAGAGAGAATTTGTGTTTTTCCCCTCAGCATTAGAACACGTATTTTGAATTGGAAGTGAAAAAAATCTATATGCAATTTTCTGGCCCTTTAGGAACTGGTGACTTTTATCATAGCTCATTACATCATCAGCGGTAATCAGGAGAGGGGAGTTTATTTGTCACAAACTGCAGAAAATTGTAGTTTTTATGGAGTTCCTTCTATCCAGTTGGTTGGTGACAATCACAATGGCCAGGGCAGAGTTATTATTTGATTTGCTTTTGTGAATGTCTGTTTTCTTTCATTACTTGTTTTTGACTAGAATAGTTTAATTAGGGGCTGTTCTCCATAAGCACGGTAAGTGTGTGTTGATCTAAAATTTTTAGCAGTTGTCTGCTTTCCTCACTGAAAACTTGCAAAGAAAGCCAGAGCTATGATTTCTGCATTATTATAAAGCGATCTGCCTGTCTTGCGCATGGCAGTTGAGGGTAAAAGGGACATAATACACTGTGTAACGTATGAAATAAATTATGGAACCATGACATTATCTCTAGTTGAACAAGCAGTGATAGGGGTTGAAAATAAATAACTAATCATTAAAACGGTACTGTTTTTCTTGTTGCACTGTTTATAAGTTTTTGTAACTTCAGTGCTTTGGAGTACAGCCTTTATGACTTAGAGCCAAGCCATCACTGTACTCCTCATCTGGGCTCCTATTGCTTGTGATACTTCCCTTTAGAAGGCAATTTGCAGTAGAGTAGTTCAGAACCGCCCATTTTGTATGGAAGGAGTTATAACACCCTTCTCCACCCATCTCCTGTTGTTGGGGCTGCAGTGCTGCCTTTGCTCTCTCTGTCCCTTTGTGTGTAGCGCTCCTGGCAAGGGACAGCAGCGCACAGTTCTCCATGGTCTTGCTTCCCATTCACCTGGCACTCATCTTGCTACTTAACTTGTATTTCTTCCTGAAGCCGGTGATCTTTATGTGTGAATAAAGTAATTTTTTGGATGATGTGTCACTTGCCCAAACTGGGAGAAAAAAGGGAGGGCAAGTTGAACGCTGTGAAAGACATACTTTGTGGATTCTGAACCTAGGGCTGGAGCAGAAGTGCCTTACCTTTTTTTGTCTTTTATGATGGCAAAAATTACGTTATTTCTATTTGCAGTAGTTTTGGTGGACTTTTTGGTGTAAATAGAATATGTCACATTTCAGCCCAATATGTAGAATTTTAAAAGTTCTGCATTTTTAAAAACAGCCAGAAGTTTGGGGAGTTTTTTCTGAACTAGTGTGAAATATATTCAGAGTTCAGATGTTTTCCCTGTGGAGGAGTTAGAAGAGTTCTCAGCTAAGGAAGCAACCCTAGACAAAAACAAAGGTAATTTCCCAAGCCCTAGGACTTCTCAGACATTAAAAATAACCCACCACAAAACAACAAAAATCCCTCTACCAGAAGGCCCCTTTCTTAGCATGACAGAAGCTTCTGCATTTCTAAAGTAGTTCACAGACTTGAGCGACTTCCTTTTCATATCTAAGAAACTTAAATATTGATTCTTAATTTTGGATTTTAAGATTCTTACTTGTAGGAACCTCCCCTCCTCCCCAGATCCCATCAAAATGGAATTGGATTTAACAAAGAAAAAGTAGGATTGTCACCAGCTAATATAAGTACCTGTCCTAGCCAGTTTAAATTACACTTACAAAGCTATAGGCAAAGTTGATCAACAAAGCTGAAAAATGTCCCTGTGCAAATGGATCTAGCAATTCCAGGAGGGAAGTACAACTTGCTGTGTATTTGGTGTTAGATGCAGCTCTGGACCTTGCCCTCCTGGCCACCGGTGTTGCAGAGAAAGGAATTATGTGGCTGTTTGAAACCCAGGCTAAGCAGTGATCATAGTCATGCCTTTCAAGAGGCGTGCATCCTGTTTGGAGATACACTTGACAAAGCTCAGCAAGACAGGACTGAACAAAAATAATCCCTGCTGGAGAACAAGACTGTCTTTCCTTTGATGGCCAGCAGCCAGATTCATGAGGTCACTTCCAGTCAAATGCAATATGAAGCAGGGCCGTGCCAGCAAGGCTATAAGGAATCTCATGCCACCAGTGAAGCAGATCTTCTAAGCTGGGTGTGAGATGAGGTCTTATCTCTTGTACAAGAAATATGAAGTTACTATAAGCCACTAAATCCTGTTGGTTGTTGCAGTGGAGTGCCGTGGAGAATTTAAACAGGTGCTGGCAAAACCTTGCTGCATTCTTACTTAGTGGTGCACCAGTATGATACCAGGAAGTGCAATGAAAACATCTTTCAGCTTGCTGCCTGCTACCTGTGCAGGAAATTCCTCTTCCTCTTCTTCAGGAACTCCCGTGTCTAACGTGCTTCCTATCAGCCAGTCTAAATGTCTTGGTGACATACAGGACATTTCAGTATGAGGTGCTGAGAAATGACATTGCACTCAATAAACCATAGATAATGCCTCAGATTTGTTGTTTCGACAATTGCCAGTGTATTAAATGTGAAAGGTAACACTTGGCATCATTAGTATGGGAATAGATTATTTTCAATATTTGTTTTTGTGAACTTTTTGGGTAGTGATAGAGATGAGCTAAGGTATTTGGTGAAATCTGGTTTAGGCCTTACTTGGCTTGATTCCAGGAGTAACCAAGGATAAGTATTGATCTATTTGTGTCTGATATATTTAGTGTTTCCATTTTCCCTTTTCAGGCACATTGAAAGGCACAATTTTTGGAATCTCTTTGCCTAATTAGTTTACTTGAACATGTACTTGCTTAAGTTTCAGGTGTCTAAAAATCCAACCCTCTTAAAATAATTGTTGAAATTATTAGCAAGTCAATGTGTTTTCCTTGGCTTTGGGAGATAATTTCCCCTTCTCTGACCTCTGGAGGCCTCACAGGTGCTTCTCCCTGTTGATTCTACAGGGAACTTGAGCACTGTTTGGGGAGATGTGGTTCACTATCTCCCCAATGGAGATGCATGTAACATAACACAAAAAGATGTGTTTCCAAGTTTTAAGACTCTGAAGGCTGCAATAAAATGGGGTAGTAAGCTCTAAAATATACAATAGATGAATATTATAGCAGAAATGATCCTTAGAAGAGACCTAAAGCTGATGAACTTATCCCTGTCGATTACTTTCAGAAAAATCTAAACATGTGTAAGAGTCAGTGTGGAAAAAAAGCTATACCAAAATAACATGTCTTTGTTTGATCAGAGCTTAAATTCCACCTTCCTGTCTTCTCTTTAGGATACATGATGCTTGCTGATGGTATTATATGGTGACCACTCATCAGAAAAGTTGTAGCATACCTTTGGACACCAGTTATTATGGCAAAGTGGAAGAGAGGAAAAGCTAGGATGAGGAAACAGAAAACAAATATACATTTAAATACAATAACTGAAAATTACTTGCGTCACTCTGAATTTCCAAGAATGAAGACTTGGGTCTCATTTCTTGGCTGTCAGATGTGTGCTTCTTTAAGCTAAAGTTGAAAAGATTCAGGTTTCTTGTATTACTTGATAACTGGTACAGCCACAGAATGCTGTGGGAATAGGTATTATCCTGCATGTGGTCTGCAGGATAATACCTATTCCCACAGATAATACCAGTCTACCTATTCTACATCATTATTTTTTCAGTATGCTTGAAGGGCTCTGTGGATGAGATACTTTAAAATGTATATTAAGTATTAAATTACTTTATTACTTGTTTGGTTAAATCTTTTGTCTGTAATTGGCTTTTAATTAAGGTTTACTGAGAATTAGAGGAAAGAAATAGTGATTACATTTTGCCCTTAAGAAGACTGCTCCATCTATCACTGTTGCTATTCTCCTGCCAACCCACTTTCTCATCTGTTTTTCATCCTGTTTGAGCTAATTCTGCAGCAAATGCTGGCTGTTTTAAAGGGCCTCCTATAACTTTATCAGCATACCCAGTGTGTCAAGGCAAATCTAGAAAGAAAGTAAGAGTGTAATTTCTCCTTATATGCTGTTTGACAGAAGAAATGTATTTAGTATATTTTTTTCAAGTGTGCTCTCCAACTGTGTCTATAGATTAATGGTATTTTATATCCTTCTTGACCATCCTGTGAGGCAAGTGCTTCTGGTTAAAATGGGAGAAGCATGAAATCTCTGTTAAAAATTACTCTTCTGCCTATTTCTTTTTTAGAATTCCTATTGCTAAATCAAAGAGAAGGAGCTGGGAGCTCTCTGTGCGTCTAGGAGATGGAATTTACCCAGTTGCGGTTTCAAAGGATGGCTCATCATTTTCTGTAAGTTCTGCTCATTTTCTAAGAAATTCAATGCAGTGAGTCAACGTATATTACCCTTGACAGCTGCTAAAATTCTCTGTCTCTTTGGTGACCAAACACAGATGTTAGTAGGCATTGCTGTGAATTAGAAAACAAAATTGTTAGTTAAATAGTGCTAGTATAATAAGTTTTTTCTCTGTTCATGCCTGTGGAACACTTTTGTATCTGTTTGTTTATTAAATTAGTTTTCTAAATAATGGCCCTGTTCAGTGTCTTGTTTAGAAGTAGCATCTTATGCTCCACTGTGGATATATGAGAGCAAGAAAATAAATGCAATGTCATCAAAAATTGCATTACCGTAAGCAAGTGGTTAAAAGAAAGCAAATCAAAGAACCAAGCAATTTGAATAAGTAATTGTACTGGAATTGTTCAATACCTGTATTGTAGTAGTGGAACTGTATGTGGTCATAGTGAAATGCCCAGTAGAAGAGCAGTAATGCTATGTTCAGTAGTTCAGCTGTTCAGCAGAATAAAGCCAAGGCACAAGCTGGTTGAGGTATTGGGAAGGTAAATTTATAGAGAACTACTTTTTATGTCTGATAATGATAAATCCACAACCAAAATGAGATTTATTTTTTTTAAATAGGCAGTTGACTCTCGTATCTGATTTTTGGGCAAAAGGTTTCAAAAGGACCTAAAAAAGTCAATTTTTCTTAGTCATTGAAAATCCAGGACTGTGAGGAATCCCAGAAGTCTTCTAGTTTACCTCTGATGGCTCTTTACTTTTCTTGCATGTGTTCAGTGGAGAAACTTTTCTGCAACATCTGCTCCATGACATATTTTATAGTCATGATGTTCACACCGATGTTGCATTCAGAATAATGAGATTTCTTTGAAAAAAGGTGTTTAAATATTTATTTCATATAATGAAAACAGTATTGTCTCGGTGATTCACTTTTGCTTTGCTCTACTGAGATTTAAATGTAGAAGACATAATTTTCAGTTGAAACTGGTCACGTTTTTAGGTGGTTATTTTTGCTTATGTATGTTGAGGTCATGATAACTTAGCTTTTTTAAAAAATGGTTTTGTTGGCCTAACTGGGGCAAGAAGATGCCTAACTAATATCCCTTTTCATACTACCTGTACTTCATCACGCTACGTTTTACATATACTCATGATGAGTGTGATACTTTTCTTTTGGAAAGAATTCTAGGAGGTCTTGGGCAACTGTTTACTCAGTACCTGATATACAGTGTTGTTCCATGGCAGTGACACTTGCCCTACTTGTGGAATGTTGCTTCCGAAACAAAGGCCATGTCTGCAATGTCAGCTTTTTCCTGAATTGAGTTTATATAATGCTCCTAACAGGCATCCTGTGAACTTGGATACAACCCGTTCAAAGAACAAAACACCTGTGCCAGATGTCAGACCAGTTTAGAGTTGGATTGGCACTGGTTTGTGCCCTTCCAGGAGCAGTCATTTCCCTCAGCCTTTCCACCTTTTTGATGCAGCATTGCTGTCTAACAACAGTCAGTTCGGAGCTACCCCCTCCTGTGAGGGTGATACAGGGTGGCTGCTGGTCACTGTGAGTGTTGCACAGGCCCTTGCTGCTGTGAGCTCAGAAATCTAACCCCCGTAGCTGGACCTCCCCAAACTAGGAGCTTTGTTTAGCACAGCTAATTACACAAGCACACATCTGTGTGCATATGTGCACACTTGTTTTTTGAGAGATGTGAGTTGCATTTAGTTACCTAGGCTCTTGCTTATACTTGCTTACATAATTCAAGAGATAGATCTTTAAATTGGACTGAGGAAAGTTTACAGACAGAGGAGGCCTAAGCATCCTTTTGTGCTTTTGGCTCTGTGGATTGTGCAGGTAAGTGAACACACAAGCTTGCATATGAATTATTCCTACGTTCCACTTCTTAGAGTTGTAAACTGCACGGAGTTTCTCAGGAGGTGTGAACTCTGAGAAGGGATGCTGAATATGTGTTGCTGCTGGCTTATTTTAACATAGAGAAAATAGTTCTGACCTATACCACAGTCCAAACCTGTCTCTCAGTTTATGTGGAAATGCTAAGCAGTTGTGATGTCTTGCAGCAGTATGAGAATTACAGCTGGTATAAACCCAGTTTAACAAGCCATATATGGAGTCTGATTTCTGATCCTTTGGTTTATTATTCAAACAATAACAAATGTGAAAGTACCTTCTTGTGTCCTTGTGTCCCTGCAGGATGTTACTGTTGTTACCATCTACTGCTAGGCCAGGAGGCAGGAGCACCTGTGAGGAGCTGAGCACCCCTGACACAGATGAAGGGGTGCCTAAGCATTAGGGACAAAGTAGCCGGGTGGGAACACTGCATACCCGAAGCCTGGGCCAGAGGGATTTGCAGCAGCAGCTTTTACATTTTAATTCTACCCTTACTGAGCCTGTAGACTTGGGTAGTGATAATTCCTTGTTTATTTGCATCTAGAAAATCCTTTAGGTGGTGAAATAAATCACAGTAGGTGGATTGCACAATAACCAGAAGTCTGTCTCACTTAAACCTCTAGGTATAGTGTATTAAAATTTGCTCCAAAGCTTGGGTTTGTAAAAAGCATACAACTGTTTTTGAATACCAGGGTTGTTTAGAGTTACACTTATTTTCATTGTTACAGGATAAATAGCAGAGGACATGTTATTCTTTTTTAATAATTTTATTTTTGCTTGTGTTCTCCTGTGATTGTGCTGCAGACAAGAGTGTATAGTAAATACAGCACTGTCAAAAATCTGAATTATTATTCAAAGCTTTACAAAGGAAAAACAACTGCCTTAAAACTTCAAAGAAGGAAAAGTCAAGACTAGGAATGAGAAATCTTGTTTCTGATCAGGTGGTATAAGACACCATCAGGAAAAAACGGGGGAAATTCAAAGCTTGCTTTATTGACTTTGCTGTCAGAAACACAAGCTTCACTTTTTGAACTTCTGCATTTACTTTCTGCCATTAAGTTGGTGTGATATGGGCTCCTGCCTTTGTGAGTTGTGTCCCCTTGTGGCTTGAGACAAAGATAGCTGAATATGTGCTGCAGTTAGATAGCCCAGTAGGAGGGCCACCTTCACATTCCCCTTCAGAAGTTTACTCCTGCTGCAAACTGTGCTTTGCAGCAGCAGCATTCACATCCTGATTTACTTTGTTTACCACAGGGACTCTTCCAACAGTGACTCTTTTCTTTTTTTCTGTAACTCTTCTACTCTTGCCAGCCGAAACCTCACCACCTCACAGTGTGCAGTGCTTGGCGCTCTGTGCAGGGGGTGTGAGCAGCAGGCCTCTCCATGATTCCCGCTGTTTTGAGCGGATCATTCGTCAGCATTTCGGTCTGTGGATCATCTGTGGTTTTCTACTTTTATCATGAGATTGTTAATGAATTGTGCAATGTTAACTGCTCTTTGCTGCTCTTTATTTTTCAGAATTTTGAATTTTGTAACCATCTGTTTTTAACCATTTTATTTTTAACAAGTCCTTGATGGGGGCTGGCTTTAGGCCACTTTAGCAGCCTTGCTTTCCCAAACTGAAGGATTTAAAAAACAAGTGGTCAGGAGTGAGCAATGCTATTTTCCTGAAGCAGTGCAGACAAAAATATTAATTTTTGAGATTCCAGCAGAGGTTAAAAACTTCTGTGAATCCTAATTTGATATTTTTTCTTTTAAAATAGAAGTAGGTCTGTTTGTATTCTGAAGCCAGCAACATGTAGGCTAGTACTTAAGTTAGTATGAAATTTCTGTACTAGAATTTTGAGTTTGACAGTTGTTTTTGGGGATACCCTGTCAGCATAACAAATGCTTTTGCAATTAGAAGAGTTTAATGACCTGACTTGAGAATTAGTTTAGCAACTTTCGTGGGACCTGCTTGCTCGTGTACAAAGAATGTGCCAACTAAATTAATGTGAATGTAATTCTTTTTTCTTTTGTTCTATATTTTAATTACTAGAAGAACCTTTAAGCTGACTGCTTGTCATACGTGCTCTTTGGAGCTCTTTGGAGGACAGACGGTCAGATTCTGGGCTTTGGTTTCTGTTCTTCATATGCTTAAAATTTTTCCTCTCGTGAATTGAATTAAAGATCTTAGTATCAAGATTACTGCTGAAATAGAATTGGAAGGAAGACTACTCTCCTTTACAAGAGACTAATGCAAAACAGCAATACACAGTCCAGAAGCATCCCACCACCAAACTGTGGAATCTTTAGTTCAGTTACAAACAGGAGTCTTTTCCATCTTGCCATTTTAATTGCCCATGTGACTATCAAATGTGTCTATTTTGTGAGTTCATTGATACGAAGACTTGATTGAGTTTTGCTGATGAAGGTTGGAGTCTGTTTTGCTTTACCAAGCCTGAATGTTCTACCGAGTACTGAAGTGTGGGAGAGACAAAAGCAAGTGGGAACCTACAAATATTGAACAAACCTGGTAGATGTGTGGTTTCCCTGCAACATATTAAATTGATCCTTCAAAGACATGTCAGTCACCAAGGGTGGTCTGGTTCCATGTGATGGCGGCATTGTTGCTTATTCATAGAATGGTTTGAGTTGGAAGGGACCTTAAAGATCATCTAGTTCCAACCCTCTTTGCAACCTGTTTTTGTTCAGTCAGGAATTTGTAACTACATTCTATGCAATAAATACAGTTCTTGAAAACATTTTTGCCACAATCATCCATTTTCTGATTATTTGCTATGGTATAGCAATCCTGTCTTGAGAATTCTTTATTGCTGATTTGCATGATTTCTCTGCAAGTAGTTGTTATTGTGCTTTTTCATGCTTGAAAACAATCCTTTCTGTTAGGGTTCTTCATCTCAGTGGTGGATGCATACCTTCCCAGACCACTTAGCCTCATCTTCTCATCTGTTTAGTTGACAAAGAATTTCCAGATGTTTTCAGTTATAAAGTAGCTTCTTATCATTGAAGTTGTTTATATTTGGGGGGGGGGGGGGGGGAAGAAAAAGCATAAGGTGAAATAGTTCAGAAGTTACTTTGAGCACATGG